AGATGCTAAAGATCAATTCTACGATAGGCTGCAGTCAATCGTCGAGAAGTGCCCAACAAAAGACCTGACTATTCTGATGGGAGACCTAAATGCCAAGGTTGGAATTGACAACACCGGATATGAAGAGATCATGGGACGACACGGACTGGGAGAAAGGAACGAAAATGGTGAGAGATTTGCAAATCTATGTGCCTTCAATAAACTGGTCATAGGCGGGACTATATTCCCACATAAACGCATACACAAAACCACATGGACTTCACCGGATCATAGCACACAGAACCAAATCGACCATATCTGCATCAACAAAAAGTTCAGGAGGACGATGGAGGACGTGAGAACAAAGAGAGGAGCTGATATAGCATCAGATCATCACTTGCTGGTCGCCAAGATGAAATTGAAACTCAAGAGGCACTGGACAACGGGGAGGACAATATCACAAAAATTTAATACGGCTCTTCTTCGGGATAATGACAAACTCAATAAATTCAAGATAACCCTCAGCAATAAGTTCCAAGCCTTTCATGATCTACTCAATGGAGAAGGAACTACTATGGAGAGCAACTGGAAAGAGATAAAAGAGGCAATCACTTCAACATGTCATGAGGTTCTGGGCCAAAAGAAGCACCATCACAAGGATTGAATCACGGTCGATACACTGGATAAGATTCAAGAAAGGAGGAACAAGAAAGTAGCAATCAATACCAGTCGAACAAGAGCAGAAAAAGTCAAGGCACAAGCTGAATACACAGAAGTAAACAAGCAAGTGAAAAGGAGCATCAGAACCGACAAACGTAAATATGTGGAAGATTTAGGAATGACGGCGGAAAAGGCTGCCAGAGAAGGAAACATGAGACAACTGTATGAAACAACAAAGAAACTCTCTGGAAATCACCGTAAACCAGAACGACCAGTGAAAAGCAAGGAAGGCAAGATAATCACCAACATTGAAGAACAACGAAACAGGTGGGTAGAACACTTCAAAGAACTCTTGAATCGACCAGCCCCACTGAACCCACCCAACATCGAAGCAGCACTCACGGACCTCCCAATTGATGTTGGCGCACCGACAATTGAAGAAATCAGCATGGCTATCAGACAAATCAAGAGTGGCAAAGCAGCAGGACTAGACAGCATTCCAGCAGAGGCACTGAAAGCAGACGTAGCGGCAACTGCAAGGATACTCCAAACTCTCTTCAAAAAGATCTGGGATGAGGAACAGGTACCAAAAGACTGGAAAGAAGGACTTCTAGTCAAAATACCAAAGAAAGGCGATCTCAGCAACTGTGACAACTACAGGGGAATCACTCTTCTTTCAATACCGGGAAAAGTCTTCAACAGGGTATTGTTAAACAGGATGAAGGACTCCGTAGACGCCCAACTTCGAGACCAACAGTCAGGATTCCGTAAGGATAGATCGTGCACAGACCAAATCGCAACTCTACGGATCATTGTGGAACAATCAATTGAATGGAATTCATCACTCTATATCAACTTCATCGACTACGAAAAAGCATTTGATAGCGTGGACAGAACAACCCTATGGAAGCTTCTTCGACACTACGGCGTGCCTCAGAAGATAGCCAATATCATACAGAATTCCTATGATGGATTAAACTGCAAAATCGTGCATGGAGGACAGTTGACAAAGTCGTTCGAAGTAAAGACCGGTGTCAGGCAAGGTTGCTTACTCTCACCCTTTCTCTTTCTCCTGGTGATCGACTGGATTATGAAGACATCAACATCTGAAGGGAAGCACGGGATACAGTGGATAGCTAGGATGCAGTTGGATGATCTAGACTTCGCAGATGATCTGGCTCTTCTATCGCACACACAACAACAAATGCAGGAGAAGACAACCAGTGTAGCTGCAGCCTCAGCAGCAATAGGTCTCAATATACACAAAGGGAAAAGCAAGATTCTTCGATACAACACAACATGTACCAATCCAATCACAATTGACGGAGAAGCTTTGGAAGATGTAAAAACCTTTACATATTTGGGCAGTATCATCGATGAACACGGTGGATCTGATGCAGATGTAAAGGCTCGGATCGGCAAAGCAAGAGCAACATATTTACAACTGAAGAATATCTGGGACTCAAAACAATTAGCAACCAACACCAAAGTCAGAATTTTCAATACAAATGTCAAGACAGTTCTACTGTATGGCGCGGAAACCTGGAGAACTACGAAATCCATCGTCCAAAAGATACAGGTGTTTATTAACAGTTGTCTACGCAAAATACTTCAGATCCGCTGGCCGGACACTATAAGCAACAACCTACTGTGGGAGAGAACAAATCAGATCCCAGTGGAGGAAGAAATCAGGAAGAAGCGCTGGAAGTGGATAGGACACACATTGAGGAAAGCACCGAACTGCGTCACAAGACAAACCCTCATATGGAATCCTCAAGGTCGAAGGAAGAGAGGAAGACCAAAGAATACATTACGCCGAGAAATGGAGATAGATATGAGAAAAATGAACAAGAATCGGATGGAACTTGAAAAGAAGGCCCAGGACAGAGTGGGTTGGAGAATACTGGTCGGTGGCCTATGCTCCATTGGGAGTAACAGGCGTAAGTAAGTAAGTAAGTAAGTAAGTAATTGCAGGCATAATGATCTGATTAAAATCAACCATGTGGAACAGACTGCTAGTAAACCTCTGTTGCAGTGAAACTACAACACGGTTCAGAAGTCTCCTTGATAATTTGCTTTCCGAAAGTGGATTGTGTCACCTATTGAATATCAATGTATTCAAAAGTGATTTATAAAAACAAGGTCCATCATCCATCTAACTGACCGAGAAGCAAAATGTAACCTTTGAAACTTTTAACGTCTATTTTACTTTATTTTCTTTCTATTAATCTTAATATGTGAAGTCTGCTTACGTCCGTATCTATAATTATTACTGTTATTAATATCATTATTGGTCCCTCGACACATTCGACGTTCTTTTTATCTCTTCTTATCCTTCTAAACATATTTAATTCCTGATTGCCCTTTGAAACTAATTGTGACTTTCATAGCATCATTCTTAAGTATTATTGCACAAATGTTTATATGAATTTCCGATTTCACTTTGTATACAATTACATAAATCTACATGTATTTATCCGAGTGCACTAAAAGATTTTTTATTTTCCTAAATTGTTAGATTTCTTTAGAGGTCGATAATCATTTCACAATTACTATTGTTATCATGGTTTAAATTTTTCACTAGGTGTTCATTTCTTTTCTCTCTTTTTTTCCGTCTAAATAAATATTATTCTTAGGATTACGAAGTTTGTAATTAAAACAATAAATTGTATTACACTTAAATTAACTTCTCAGACTCGTTTTATTTTCACTATTGATATATGACTTATACACAGTGATATTTCATTATCTTTTTCACTTAATTGAGACCTTCATAGCATCACACCAAACTATGACTGCACAAACATTTCTTCTAGCGTCATATCTTACTGCAATAACATGTTATTTTTTCTTAATTAACTTTTATTTTGTTTTATTTACTAATTTGACGATACATACATAGTAGTGTTCATAAACACGCTTATTAAACTATTTGCATCTTTCACGTCTCCTTTATTTCTATTCCCTTAGTTTCTTCCTTTCCTTTTTTAAACTCAATTTAATATGCTTCTCAATTACACAGAATCTGATTTATTATTATTATTCCAACATTATCACTCTCTTTTTCTAATATGGCAAATATAATGCTAACATTATTGAAACTTGTGTATTATTGTATTTTTGAAGAAACTCAAAATGGTTTCTTCACAACACTTGTGTACCCATAAGATGATTGTGAATAATAATAATAATAATAGAACAATATATCTAATATGAATAACAGCGAGATGTACAGAGCGACCATGCCTGCTAGGTTGGGCCGTGCCATCCGATCAGTTTGAATTAATTCAACTCATCGTTTCCTCGTTCTCCGTCGTTGGGTCTTTCTCCGCGTTAAATGTTGAGTATTTGTTTTCTCAATCGTCTCGTGTTCAGCTTTGAGGATCGTGTGGTTATGGCCCAATTCCACTGCACCTCCTTGAAGCCACTTTACTGTATTGATGTGAAAACTCGGCGAAAAGACTCAGACGCATGTACACTTCGAGCGGACTGAAACATTCTGATTAGCTGATCTAAAAGGTAGCTGACGCCCTTTAACGTGGTTAACTATGTCTACTCACACATCGAGGACACGAGTGAAATTAGGTAGAGCATAGAGGGAGATTTAAAGAATTATGGTCTGCTTTTTCATTGGTACTGCTCTAATAACAGACTTAATACTAAAATTGTAGATTCGTCGTGATGTAACTGCCTAATCTATAAAATCTTACGTGGAAATCTACCCTGACTCCTCGTATTGTGAGTCATCAATGTATGATGAAGAACACACTTAGGCGGGAGATAGTACAATATATTTAATAGGATCCAATGCCACTACAGATAAAGTGCCCATGGTCCGGTCTCACTATGATCTTTTGATAACAGAGAGCTTTGATTAACTGTCACGTGATCACCACCAAAGGGTTTGGAACCTTACGGGCTTTAAGACAGGCATTTACCAAGTTAGATACCAAAATATTCACCACAGTGAACACAACCCCGGTGATATATCCGAATATGAAAACTGTGTTCAAGCTCCGGGTTTTGTCTAAAAGTTGTAAAAGTTCTTTTTGAAAAAACACAGGAGATACCTATCCATGCAGTTCCTGCAGTACGGGATTTTTCATATACAGAGAGACTTGAGAAGCTGAACACCTTTGGTCTGTCCTCCAGTAGATTGAGAGTTGATTTAATTTTGATGTATGAGTCAATCCATGGTGTGCAATCGGTTGGTTCTCGTTAGTCATCCTTTATCTTGACTGTTTAAAGACCGGTGATCTATCGTCTAATGTATAAATGGTTTAGCCACAGCGACGATTCGCTGGTCCTACAGGTTGTCATGAATGCCGATTTTGCTTTTGTTTTCATGCAGCTTATACTAAATGGTTAATTGCGGTAATATATTGCAGGCCAATAGTATCCTCATTGGTTTACAAGGACCTTTCTTAATGACCTACAAACGTTCTGACACGAGTTGTATTAAACAACAACTGTAATGATTAGTTATATAGTTTTCATATAATAAACCACTACAGTATTATTTTAATACCAAGGATTATATTATTCGTTCAACTTTATAAACAATAACATGCAGTAGTACTACATATTCATATAGTTTTAAGGATGATAGAAGAAAAGGTATTCGGGCCAAAAACAACAGTACTCAGCTCACCGGAAAGTCCTAAATTTGCAATCTGAGCAACATGAAATAATTAGGGTGAGAGTATGATCTTGATCTACCGTATCTCTTACAATCCTGTTCATCCCAACAGATCTCTTACACATTTCATTATTAGATTACTATATTCAAGGGCCGGTATCCGTACCCAAACAACAAGAAGAGCGCTCCAAGAAATCAATCAGTTAATGCAAACTCGTCACATCGATAATGGATATTGGAAGAGGCCATTCATCGAAGATAGAAGGTCAGCATAACTAAACTGTGAAACTCCCTATTAGAGAATATAAAACTTTAAACATTTTTGGAGTCATTTAGAAGAAACCTAGATGTTCACTTTGATCCTATATGTACTGAAAGTGTTTCTCCATGAACGCATTTACTACTAACGACTCACTTGTTTTACAACGCAGTTCCAAAATGAATATAACAACGACCACAATTTTTTGCAATCAAAAACTCTATCCTACTACCAAGAAACAGTAAACAGCTTTACGAACCGGAAGTTTAGTCCTGTCATTTGCACTTCTCAAAAGTTTGCTGTGTCCTTACGCAACAAAAGCGCCATTTCGGATCTAAACAATCTATCCTGAGCTTTACGTTTGGTAGATTAGTTTTCTTCTTAAGTTTTGCCCAACCTAATGGTAAACCGTAGTTTTACCTCAGCTCACTATTTGGTTTCTTAGTTTCTCACGTCAAGGCTAGTTTCACTTTGTTCTAACTTTTTGCACCACCTGTTTTTATCCACGTTTGGTGTACTGTGTTTTTGTTTTACGGTCGTAAGCTTTTGTTAGGATCCATATAACTATTTATGTTAATTATAGTCACGAAGAATTGAAGCAAGCGACCCGACCGCTGTTTTGTTGTTGCATCTGGCATGCAGTGTGATAACTGCAAATGCTGGTTCCACGAAGCGTATACAGACCTTATAGTAACTGTTTACAACAGACTTGGTGAGTCGGATCATGAGTGAGTGTGTGTCACGTGCGACATGAATGCTGGGGTTTTACTGAGCAACATAATTCTCTTGACAGGTCTACGGAATAAATTGTCAGCAAACCTGAATAAAGTCTTAGAACCCGTATACAATAAATGACATGCAATAAAAACGAGAGAAGTGATCTCGATATCACTACTATCGGTGGGGCATGTAACAACACTAGTGAAGACATACTGAAGCTCAGCACCATAACAATATCGGTGAGACTAGACTCCCCACACATGATCCGTTAATGCAACGGTGATTTCCAAAAACTCTGTGGGTCATTGGAACCCCGTCAATAAAGTTAAAAAGGACGTCTTCGTCTAGGAAGCCGAATTTCCCAAGTATTGTAGTTAAATCAACTGGTGATTTGACCTTACAGTTTGCCCTCAAGAATGTCCAACCGATCAGCAAAAAACATAGGAATCAGAAACGCTCTTCGACTCCCAAGCAACAAGGTCCCCAGCCTGAAGACGCTCGAAAGCTTGGGAAAACAATACTGGTTTGCAATGTTTCTTTCATAATCATGGACTTTAAAGACAGGCTTTACCTTTCCCTCAGTTTTCAGGGAAAACATGATAGAATGCTCTGGGAAGTATTAAACAAGAAGCTTGGACTTCCTAAAATAGAGCCTTTGACGGTCACACGGCTCACTCGGGAGCAACAAAAACACCCAAGACTAATTCGTGTAACACTCACTCACGCTACCGACGTAGAGGATATCCTTGTGGCCAATCGCTTACTGAAATCAGATGCGAACGTAATAATACTGCCTGATAGACCGTATTCTGAGCGCAATCTCATCCGAAACATCCCTAAGGAACCTCGCAAGAGGTTTTTCCGCGGAAGAAACACCATTGTGCAAGGTTTGACGGAAAACGTTGACCCTGATCACGCTAACTCTGATATTTAGGAATGGAAACTCATCAAGCAGTCCTTGGAGCTCGAAAATATACTGGCTCAACAAGTGGTAAGACTAAACAAAAAGGAAGGAGATTCCAGACCTAGGCTGATGAAGATAACCTTCCCATCCTCCCATATGGCGGTTGCAACTCTGGAAGCATTTCGTACCAACAGACGTCGGTCGCCAATTGGAATCTATGTACATCCGGATAATCCACGTGACGCCAGGATCAAGCATAAAGGCAAATTGGAGCTGATCATTCCACTTATGGAGTGTCTAGATCATGAAAAACGAGGAAAGGACAGGGTCTGTCTACTTAGAAAACCTTGGATAGGTAAGCCACCTGTCAAATCACGTAAGTCTGATACAGATAATCATGACGGGAAAGTTAACGCGTTCTAAATTAAAAGTATGTACTGCTTATACTTGAACGCTGCGAGTTTACCGAATGAAATGGATGAGTTACGTGGACTCAGAAATGCTAATAATGCTCATCTGATAGGAATATCTAAAACTTGGATATCTTTTCAGTTTACGAACCAGCAGCTAGCAATACATGGGATGTCTTTGCTTCTTGACGACAGAAAACAGGAATCGGGATCAGAGCAGCTTTATATTTACGATCGTGCCTGAAGGTACATCAAGTGCACAACCAAGAGTTTATCAATCTTGATGAATCCGTATGATGCTCAGTAGGATTGTCTACCACCTAGAGGTGTCTAGTTGGAGTCATCTACAGAAAGTCGATGCTGACATCGAGTACAACAAGCGTATGCTGGAAGGATTATCCCGCCCTACTCGTCTCGGATTCACTTATATCCTGATTCTAGGAGAATTCAATCTTCCTGAAGTCAATTTTGCGGAACATACGTATATCAGGGGTGAAAACTCTACTGAAACGTGATTTTTCAACCTCATTGAGGATCTGGGATTATACGAAAATGTGAAGTCAGCAACTCATTGGAAGAACAGCCAGACACCGTTGCGCTTAGATTGTGTATTTACAAACGAAGAATTTCTAGTTGAAAACCACTCAATTCTAGCTCGCCTGGGTAAAAGCGATCCTTCAGTTTTGTCAGTAAAACTGAGCTAAGATATTCCAACAACGACAAGCGCTGGAATTTCAAACTGTTGAATGTGTCAGTTCTACAGGACTATCTACAACAGGTGAATTGGGATGTTCACCCTCAACTTGATGTGGATGCTCATCGGAACTTCCTATTACACACGCTCTTATGTGCTACAAATCAGTCAAACGGTCCCCAAAAGTCACAAGCAACCTACAATCATCAAGAACCGCACTCTTCGTTTGTTAAGCAGCAAAAGGCACTGTTGGACAGAATACAAACGAACTGGTAACAACGGAGCATACAGGCTATACAAACATATATGGAACATATGCACAAAGGCAATATGAGAAGACAGGCCTCATTACTAGTAAAAGCTTATCGATAAATTTGTCGACGATCCGAAAAGCTTATTACATTATGCAACCCCTCTTCGACAAGACAAAAGTGGAGTTTCTAGACTGTTAGGTCTTAATGGCCCGACCGATAACGACGGCGACGCCGCTAACCTTTCGGCTGAACAGTACTCCCGGACATTTCAACGGACCCACATCAACTATACTGATGACAGCTTCATCTGTAACTGCACAGGAATTTCTGTAGTGAACCTGAGAGCTGGCTTGGTGTTCCGAAAGCTGCAGCATCTAATAACAGACACTTCCCCTTTCCCGAATATGGTTCATTCTGCTATACTGAGGGAAGCAGCTTCAATCCTGGCAACACCGCTTAGCGTGATGTTCTAGCACTTGCTAAGCCGAAACGCATTACCAGAAATTTGGAAGCAAGCTCACATCATGCCAATTCTCAAAGGAGGTCGACGCAGCGAACCTACAAGCTACCGATCGGTGGCTCTCTTCTCTATACCTTTAGAAATTATAGAGTGCCTGATATGCGACGGTGTACACGACTATTTATTATCCTTAAACTTTTTTTCACGTCAAGAGTACGGTTTCAGAAAAGGTCACTCTGGTATAACCAACCTGCTGACTGCGGTGTACAGATGGACAACCAACTGTGATCTTCAGGGTGAAGGTTTACGTCATTTATTCTAATTTCTCGAAAGCACATGATACGGTCAACCATACATGTATTATCAATAAGCTCAAACGATCGGGTATCAAATCACTTCTAATTGATTGGCTCACTTCGTATATAAAAATTATCATTTTAAGGTCAGGTTTAACTTCACTTTATTTCAGGCTATGGAATGTCCTAGTCGGGTCATCATATGAGCCTAGTCGGGTCCCCCAGGGTTAAGTACTAGGACTTCTTTTCTGGATTTAGCTAAAAGATTTTCCACAACATTTATCGTCAGACTCATTACTTTTTCTTGATGATGTGAAACTTTGGAGATACGCAGCCAAGAGGATACACTGGTACTTCAGAATGATCTGACTCGACTCCATAGTTGAACAGACGATAGCGGACTTACCTTTGACACTTCAAAGTGTAAAGTAGTCCATCCACAACATGTTGCAGTCTCAGGTTACCACTCAGGCAACTCCTCTCTAGAGGTATCCCAATTCGAAGAAGATCTAGGAGCGTTGGAAATCTACGATTTGAAGTCCTACGCTGATTGTGACAAAAATACTTCTCGAGCAAACCTTGCACCGGTAACACTGAAGCGCGATTTCGGCCAGTTTGACCAAAGAACTTTCCACATAGTATTCAACAGTTTTATTCGTCCCCATTTGGAGTACGAGAACATAGTATTTCCTCCCTTACTTCAAAAGGATAAAGATATTCTGTAACGTATCCAAAGGTGAGCCACGAAGTCAGTTCGCGGACTCAAATTCAAGCCTTATGAAGAGCGCCTGCGATCACCAAAAGTTTACCCGTTAGAGTACAGACACACTAAAAGTAACCTCTTTTTGGCGTCCTAAACACTTCTGGACATCCACTTAAAAATCTATCTAAGTTAAGCTCCAGCACAAACCTAAGGAGTAATACCCAAGAATGTGGCGACACAACTCAGCAGAACGGACTGTAGACACAACTTCTACTGCTTACGAGTAGCCAAATGCTGGAATTCGCCTCCGGTTGAGCTAGTCCGGGCGACTTCCTAGGAGTCCGTTGTGAGAAAACGTGACATATTCTTAAAGACTAAGGACAGTACCTTACTAAGACTTACCAATTTATTTTTCCTCTTTTATCATTAATATACCTAAATGGTCCAAATAGTTGTGGACGGAGTAGAAGAAGCTTTCGCTTAACGGGCCTCCATGTCTAATAGAAGTGGATCAACAATACATTCGGGCAGGAACCTAGGTTTATTAACGATAATAGAGGAAAAAAGAAATTGGAGAATCATAATAAGATGTTATCCCTAGTCCTTAAGAATAGGTCAAGTTTCTTAAGGACTAAGTTCCTGCCTGAATGTGTTAGTGCTTCACTGCTACTAGACAAAGAAGCTCGTTAAGCGAAAGCTTCTTATATTCTATCCAAAAACATTTCAACAATTTGAACAACCTTGTCTATCAAAGTTTGGAGTTTGAATGTCCTAAACTTTTAAGGTCAGGGTCGCTGTTAACGCGTGGTCGTCGTTTCGACGATAATACGTTCGTGTTAGTGTTTATGTTTTCATTGATATTCATTCACCTATTCCTGATACGATTTCAGTTAATCTCTCCGATACATACATCCTTTGGTATCGGAATCGGTCAAATAAAAAAGTTTGGGGAATACTTTGGAGACTGTTTAAGAAAAGTTGATGTGAATTCAGAAGTTGCACTAGACTTACGCCTTTTTCCAGAGCTAAAATAGTACAAGTTTTCCCATGGACATTGCTATTTAAGGAAAATGTCTTAAAGTTGACACCTTAACCTTTGCTTAAGCACTCATCAAATATCCTAAATGCTTTCCAAATCGCTTAATTTTCGCTGACTATATTTTTAGTCGACCATAACATTGTTTAATCTGCGATCGAGTATATACCACAAGTGTGCGTAGTTGACATTATTTAAAAGGATAATATATTTGAGAAAAGTCGTTTATTCACATGAATTAGGGTGCGACTGATTTGTGGACGAGCCAATCAAAGGCGGTTTAGAGATCTCAGGCTTACGGCACCAACTTCAGTGCTTAATGCTAACGTACGGTCGGTTTACGGAGGATTTTGTACAAAACGTGATAATTGAGCGGCTATAACAAATAAAACGGCGAGACTATAATTTGTGAAGAACTCAATCGTAGAATTAGAACTTACTTTGCTCGGCAGCTTTCATCAACTTAGACTTGGTCTCTAAATCTGGTTTCACTAAATCATATAAAATAGTCATAACTTGTTATCGGTTGGTTACTCATCAGCCTAGTTATTAATGACATCTAAAAAGTAAAGCAATTAAAAACAAATCAGTTGACAAATAGGTTTATCTCAAGCATCTCATTGTTGAAGACATTTAACGCTTCCAATCGACAGGAAAATAATTGGTGATTTTGTAAAAAAGTAAAATAGTCCAGAACCGAACGTTTAATAATCAGCCAACTGTCGTCCTTATCTACTTTGTTCGTTAACTTTTTAAAGGAGGAACAAAGCGAGCGAAAGATTTTTTTCAATTAATTTTCCATCATGGCTCTACACTAGTATATATGATTTACAGTAATGGAATAATGCATTTTTGATTAATAAGCCGCTTGGTCGCTACAATGAGGGTCTCTTTCTTAACCAATTCATTCTTTAGTCCGCTGAAAGAGTTTTCTTTCTACTAGTACTGAAACTTTAGTTAACTATAATTCTGAATGATGTCAACCTTGTATCTTTGCAAGTAATAACCTACTTAATAGAATCGTACTGTATTTTTCATGTGTTCTGTTTTATAAAATTTCAGACGTTGCGGTATTCTGAAAAGTGCAATGAAACTGGCATTCGTATGATGAGTTTACTCATATTACAAACAATATATTACTCCTCTTTAGGTAACTGGGTCAAACAAAGGCATTGGATATAGCATTGTTGAAAAGCTTGCAGAATTTTATGGAACATCAGGAGAGTGGGATATTTATCTAACAGGTAAGAAGTTGTTAGTTGATAATTTAACAGCTCGAAATGCTGAGCTTGGCCAGGAAGCTGTGGAAAAACTCAGTAACAAGGGCCTGGATGTCAAATTCCATCAACTAGATATCACTGATCGAGATAGTCGAAAAGCGTTCCTAACATTTGTAGAGAGTAACTATCCTAATGGAATCAACATTGTAGTGAATAATGCTGGAATTGCCTACAAGGTTTTTGTTTTTTATTTTGTATTATTCAAAGGTGAACTCCACGGCTCCCTTTGGTGAGCAAGCACGAGTTACGGTAAACACCAACTTCACATCAACTATTGATTTCACGGAAGAGTTCATTCCTTTGCTGGCTAAACATGCTAGGTACTAATTTATACTAATTTATATTTTTACAGGGTTGTCAATGTATCTAGTTCTGTTTCTCTAACCAGTCTCAAGAAACTCAGTGATGGCCTGTACAACAAATTCGTTAGCCCAATAAATCTTTTGGAACTTCGAAAGCTGGTCTCCGAGTTTGTAAAGTAAGTCATTTTATGCTAATTTAGGGAATGATAGATCAATAAAGTAAATGGTTCAACCAAGAATTAAGATTACCATAGTTACATCAAATAAATTTTCATGTCTCTTGGGTGTAACCTTTTTGTATCTAATCCACAGTGAGTTGCTGGAATGGCATTCTGACGGGATACCTTCATGTCTTTTTGTAATTGAAGAATACATACAAAATCATCTCACAGTCGCTCTACGTAATCGATTTGATGTGTAGTAGTAAATGTAAAATATGATTGGTTGGGTATCGTGGGCAAACAGGCACTTGACCTACGGACTATTAAATATGTGACATCCCTGTCATTGATTTCTACTCCGGACTCACCGAGCGTGACTGCTCTTAGTTATATTGAATAAAGTATTATCTAGTGTAATCTGGCTCCCTATTCTGAGTCTTGAATCCTGAATTTCGCATAACGTGACTAGTTTCCTTATCGTATTGACGTACTATTGTAGAATACGTAAGAGTAAAAAAATATTTGGAACCGTCCGTTATATCACTATTTATAACGAATCCCTGTAACTTACGGTGCATTTGTCCCAGGATCTCCTGACTGTTAGCAAAACCACAGGGATGTTCCATCCTTTGACTTCCTAGAGTTGAGAATTACTAACCTTCATGTTTCGCACCAATCTACAATAGGCCATAACTTGTCAACAAATTATAACCAATATGAAACTTTTACCATTGTTCGTTATTTTAGTGATTTAAATTCCCCTTCAGTTGTTTTGTTTTAATTTTGGTATAGTCAGCAAAAAGTGCTTCGTTTTAGTCATCTAATATTCTGTTTTTTTTTTAAAGTTTTGTTATGTTCCTTACGTTGACAATAATTATTTTCGTTCTGAGTTAACGTGACTTTGTAGTTCGTTGTTCAAATACTCACTTCCTTAGGTTGGTCTGCGGCGTTCTTAATTGATAATTATATTCCTCTGCTTTATATTCCTACAGCTTGTTGACTCCTGTTACCCCTCGTGGAGCATAGACTGCCCACCAGGTCTTTTCAACCGACTGTGTTCTGGGTTCTCCTTTCCACTTGTTTCCAATTGAGATTCATTTTTTTAATGTCTGCCTCCAATTTCCTGCGCAATGTGTTTGTCGGTCTTTTTTGTTACCTTTAGGTTTCCAAGATTCCTTAACTCCCAGAGGAGAATCTAAATAATTCAGATGTTTTTTTATGGTTGGCGTTTTTTCATCAGAGTTGTTTTTTACGGGATAGGTTTGCTGACGCTATGTCTAACCCTCCTATATCTGGGTTTGGGACCGGCAGCAACCCTAGAAGGACGAACTTATTCTTTTTTCCCGTATCATATTCTTCAATCAGTAGCAATGTAGAACTTCATACGTTCGTACATCAGCTCGAGTTGCCACACCACACTAGCCCAGAGATACAGTTGTCGATTTAAATCTCGTAGTGGTAGATGTAATAAGAGTATATGCAGTAATCGGAAACATTAGGGTTTGAAGATGTTATTCAAGAAGTATAATCCAGCGAAATAATTTTGGAAAGAGAAAAAGGGACATGAAAAACTCAGAAAATTAGGATTTGGGTATAGCAACTTGGACCAATACATATCTGTGTCTGGTCCTACGTTGTAGATGACTGACTGAGACATTTTACAAGTACATTATTGTATGGGTTTTGAGTCACAAATGAATATGGTACATTAGAGAACTGATCTGCTTCCTACCTTCGTTCTCTGTTTATTCACTGGGTTCGATGAAGTTTGTTAAGGTCTTGATTGTTGTTCATTGGTTGATGTGTCAGTCGGTTAATAAGTCATCAATCCTATTAGGAATATAGATGAACTAATCGATGACCGAACTAGAGAGTAACCATGTAACTGCTTTCCTGCCATTATGATCTGATCACATTTGACCTACTATAATCCAACATAAGGAAACAACCTTTTGTTTTCTTCCGACATAACAGTGACGACAGTGTTGATCTAAAGGTTTCGGTTTTTTCGTTACAGCTGTCTGGTCCCAATTATAACTCAGTTTTCGGTTCAGGTTATCACTCAAGTCCAGTTTTCAGGTATAACCAAACTGTTTTTCAAGTCTCAGAGATCTAAAAATGTCATTTTCAGTCACAAAAGTAAAATCAATTTTCCAGTTTAATGATGTGTTCATTAAATCTCATTTACTTCCCGTTAGTTTATTGATCGAACATGTGTTCAAACAAATAAATCTGGAACCACACTCAGAAATTATATATATATATATATATATATATATATATATATATATATATAATCTGATAGATTTCCAGCTGAAATATAGAGCGGTTGCGAGATAGAGAAAGAGGTCAGCAATATCCTCAATAAGATAAAATCTGACCAATGTTCAGACATTCTTATTACATTATCGAAATTTATAAGAGGGACTAATTGTTTTAAAATTCTTATATCAGATTCCGGTCATCCCAACGATTTAATCATGTTGAGTGAAAGTTAAAATTATTGTCAGACAAATTTTCTGATATCCTAAAATATAGCACAACGACATCGACCAAATCACACTCGATGGAGAAACTCGAGAGAAGACAAAGTTTACGTGCAGGGGAATCTGATACAGATGTGAAGCCACGGAATGGCAAAGTAAGGACAACATTCATACAGTTGAAGAATATCTAGAACTCAAAACAACTATCAGCCAAAGTCGGATTCAGAATTTTCAGTGCAAACGCCAAGACAGTTCTGTTGTACGGAGGTGAAACTTAGAGAACTACCACAGCAACCATCAAGAAGGTACAGGTATTTATAAACGATTGTCTACGCACGATACCTCAGGTCTGTCTACCAGACAAAATCAGAAATAACCTACTGTGGCAGGAAACAAACTAGCTTCCAGATGAAAAGGAAATTAGAAACGACGTTAGAGGTGGATAGGACACAACTTGTGAAAATCATTGAGCTGCATCACAAAGCAAGTCCTATCTTAGAATCTTCATGTCAGAAGGAAAAAACATAGCTCCGGAAATTAAAGACAGACATCGAGACCATGAGTAGCACTTGTGAACCACTGGGAATGTGAGTCTAGAACAAAGTTGCTTGTCAAATCCTGGTCGGCGACCTATGGTTCACGAGGAGTGGCAGGCGTAAGTAAATAAGTATGAAGCTTCTAAATGTCAGTCATGGCAATGAAATCATCGAGTAACTAATCTTGAGGTATTATCCTGTTTACTATTATAGCCAGTTGTATTTGTATCAAAGGTGGCTACTCTAAACCGTTGCGGCTGCGGTCAATAAATTTACTAATCTCTGTTCAAGTAGTATGTGGAATGTTGGTTCCTACTAGAGCTTTCACTGAATAACCAAAGTAACATGGGTATTTCGATAGACTGAAAAATGAAAACCTTCATCTTAAATTGCCAGTGTAGATTGGCTCCTTTTGATCCATATATAGGAGCGATTATCACCCCTAGTATATTATTTCCTAAATTTATTTCCTGTTAATTTTTCGGTACGCTTATTTTGCGAGGTAACTATATCTATCTAAACATTGTAGTAGTACTTAATCCTTCTAGATTTATTTAGTGAGTAATTGGTTTTTGTTCAAACCTGTAATTAGGTCCGCTGAGGATGGTACTTATTCTGAAAAAGGATGGCCACAAAGTGCTTATGGTGTGTCTAAAATGGGCCTTACAAAGGCTTCATTTATTTTTGGTGAAATGCTGAAAAATGACCCGAGAGGAATTGTGATAAATTCGGTTAGTTCGTTTTGTCGATATTGTTATGGTTTGTGTTTATTTTTATGCAATTTGTTCTTATCTTAAGATTAGAATAGTGTTCGTTTTGTGAAATAAAATACCAGGTAATCCAGCGATTATATATAAATTCATTAATAGTTCAAATTAGCTATATTTATCCATAATGAAGTAACTGATTATCTTGTTATTATGTATTGTATACTTTTTCGTCAATCAAAAATGTGTGAAGTCACAATAAGTGTTTGTAACTCTTTTCGAGTTGTAAGACTTGGGTGTCGAGATCTTATTGGTTTGTTGATATCTTAGTGTTATAACGCTCGCTTTTTCCGTCTGCACGAACGGGACGTTATTTTACCTTAGACGAATATCTAAACTAGTGACCCTCTCAGTGTTTATTCTATAGTACTTCAACACAACTCAGATCAAGAACACGTGATTAGCCTAACTAGAACATAAGTACATTTCCACACCGAAAACCGACAACAATCCCAGTAATAATAAGGGCAGGGAAATACATAACTCATCTAATATCTGTCAGACTATCTACTAATCTGACTAAGCAAACGACCAATCATTATTTTCCTCGCCCACACATCACTTAGTTCTTGAGATCCTAAAATACATTACTCAAGCATCATAATAATCTTATTTGTGTAATTAAGTTGCACAAAATCTTCGTCGCGTTATTATAGTGAGTTTTATTAAAAACTTTTATTGCGTTTGAAATGAACTGTTGTTTAGATTTGTCAATGTTCATGAGTACAGTTTTTTCCGTAAATTTTTCCACGACATTATAAAATTAGATTTAGCTCTTTACTACTAAAAAACCAACTATATCATGAGAGTTTATGTTTACATTCGTTAAGATTAGAACGAACAATTCGTTTTTAAACCTTATTTATCTTTGATAGTCCTGATTTCGATTATTTCCCTGAAGAAACTCAAGTCAATTTGTCGGGTGAAACGCTGCAATTTTATAAATAGCAGTTGGCCGAAGTTATTTCAGGCAGGAAAATCGCTCCACCTAAAGCAAAAGCAGTTTGCTAGAGTTTTCCAATAATATTGTCTCATTTCCAAACTTGAATACATTCTCATTAGTTAGGTTTAGAAATATCTATATAAAAGTTAGATGAATTATCCTGAGTTATCATGTATGAGTTCTAGATTGGTAGCCAAGGATATCCATTCTTAAATTACAATCAGAGTAGCATAGAACGAGAAATAATTCAATCAAGTTATTCGTCAAATTTCTTCATGTAATGGTTACCACATCATATTATATAAAGTTATCGTTGTTAGTTAACATAGTATCAATAATATAGTTATCCTTTTCCTCTAGAAGCTTACAATTTGTATTTAACCTACTTCCACCATTTTCTTTGAGTTTGATATTCTTTGAGCTCTATATATTTGTGTTTAGTTTTGAGAGCATCTATTTATCCTAATTTCTTAGTTAATTAGTTCGAACAAAGTGATCTTTCAATTGCGAGTTGTTTGCAGTTTCAACATGTACGCCAGTTAAGAGAAACGATATTCTTTTCCTATGTATTTAAATTTCTTAAGATTATTTTCTGTTGAATTTATCGTTCATGAATGTTTTTCTACGTAATGATCACATACAATAATAAAACAATTTGTTAATCTTAAAATCTAAATTAGGTTATTTAAAAGTTGGTTTCCAGATTAAAATTACTAGGTTTTCATCACCCTGATACAAACATATCAAAAAATTAATCCTGAGTTTTCTTCGTTTTTATTAATTTGGAAGTGTTGTCCTGGTTATTGCGATACTGATATGACTAGTCACAAGGGAACCAAAAGAGCTGATGAGGGTGAGTGTCCAACTGTTTTAGTCAGAACCTGTAAAGGTTTGCATATCTGTTGTGATTTTTATTTTTGTTATATAGTTCATATTTGAGGAATTGAGTTACACCTAACGTCAATAGAAAATAGATATGACTAACAGTCGTGATATAAACCGATAAATAATTTTCAAAGAATCATTGTTATAACACAGGTATTAATTTTGTTTTCTATCTATGAATTTTTAATGACTACGCATAACATATGCGGTCAGTTAGTAAGCTTATTTTACTTATTGTGTGTAAGAGGTTTAGTTGTGATAAAATTACATGTTCTATCTTATATATGCTATCCATAATGTTGAAAGGACCGTCCGAAGTACGCCGTACCCAACTGTTATCTTAAAAAGTAAATAAGCAAATCCATCCACTCTAACAAAATTCCTGAATATAATATTGCTAACTTCGTTAGTGCTTTCACGGTAATCGAACCTTTTGATCACACGATTAAGTGACCTGTAAAGTCTGGTGATCAAAAACTCAAGTTTTTCTGAAAATACTATACTGTTATAATGATGCATGGAATGGATTACAAACTTCCATTTACGAAGGGCTACGAGATACAGTGGACAGCTAGAATGCAGCTGGACGACCTAGACTTCGCAGATGATCTGGCTGTTCTATCGCAAACGCAACAAACGCAGGATAAGACAACCAGTGTAGCAGCGGCCTCAGCAGCAGTAGATCTCAACATACACAAAAGAAAAAGTAAGAGTCTCCGATACAACACAGCATGCATCAATCAGATCAGACTTGATGGAAAAGATTTGGAAGATGTAAAACTTTTACATATCTGGGCAGCATCATTGATGAACACGGTGGATCTGATTCAGATATGAAGGCACGGATCGGCAAACCAAGAGCAGCATATTTACAACTGAAGAACATCTGGAACTCAAAACAATTGTCAACCAACACCAAGGTCAGGATTTTCAATGCAAATGTGAAGACAGTTCTACTGTATGGGATGGAAACTTGGAAAATCACGAAAGCCATCATCCAGAAGATACATGTGTTTATTAACAGTTGTCTACGCTAAATACTTCAGATCCGTTGGCCAGACACTATTAGCAACAACCTACTGTGGGAGAGAACAAACCAGATCCCAGTGGAGGAAGAAATCGGGAAGAAGCGCTGGAAGTGGATAGGACACACATTAAGGAAAACACTCAACTGCGTCACTAGACAAGCCCTCACATGGAATCCTTAAAGGTGAAGGAGGAGAGGAAGACCAAAGAATACATTACGCCGAGAAATGGAGATAGACATGAGAAAAATGAACAAGAATTAGATGGAACTAGAAAAGAAGGCCCAGGACAGAGTGGGTTGGAGAATGCTGGTCGGCGGTCTACGCTCCATTGGGAGAAACGGGCGTAAGTAAGTAAAGTAACGGTATTTACCGTGTTGGCATAATCATAGAAGGCTGCTTACTTAAATCGACTCAAGGTTACTTGTAAAAACATGGAATAAGCAAACGATAGCTGTTAGCTGTGTCGAAATTACAGTAGCAGACAATATCAAAAGAAAAACGAGAAACCCCTGAAATCTTAGTTTTTATAATAAAGCAAATGTTTAGTGAATACAATTGAGTAACTTATTCAAGTATTAATAAAATGCGATTTTAACAATAAATAAATTGGATGTCATCATTTTATGTAAATACATAAAACATACAATAACTAGTAGACATAATACTCAATGCGCTTAAAAGGACTGAGGATAAACTTTAATCTCGTTCACAATTTTAGCATTGCACCTAACAAACAACAAAATTGAAGCGGGGATCATCATTAATGCTGTCGTAGAGCATGTTTTGTTCTTTGTCATTTTTGCTGTCTTGCGTGAAAAATCTAAAGTTTTCTATGACGAAAATGCCACTCCATGCTACGGTGTCAAGTGTAGTGCAGTCATTCATGATACAAGAATACTGCAACACAGCAAAATTCATACCTCCAACTAATTCTGTAATGGAAGCTGTTCCAAAACATCTACAAGTGAGTGACCAAATAAACTAAAACATAACTGTAGTTACTGACTACTATACACTTAGATAACGACGTGCGGTTTATCTCCTGCCCTCAAAAGTTATTAAAAATAAGACTGATCACTGAGAATTAGTAAGTATTATAACACAATATACAGAAGAGAAACGAAAAAAAGAATACATATATGACAATTACAATATTAGTAAAAGGTAGCGAAAGTTCTACAGATTTTATGCAAATGACAGAACAGGCATAATATCATTAAGTTCACACTAAATTATAGTATTAATATAGTATGATAATTTAAATATTTCGTTACAATAATTAGAATCACCAAATGAAACGATATCAGAAACATTCAAGTATAAAATGATGAAGATATAGTAGATAATATTGAATAAGGTAATTTTCCAAATAAAAAATCAACGAAATAAAAGGTTAATTACTGATTGTTTTGTGCAAAGAAGGCTATCTTATCCTTATCTTTAACGTGGTCTCACAACATAAATAAAATATTTGTAGTATCCTTCACAACGTTATGATTATCATATTTTCATTTAATTGATTTTGTATTTGAAAAGTTTTCCCGCATTCTTGTACATCATATCATATATAATGTTTCAAACTATGGAAGTGCAACAAAAGTCCAAAATGAAAGCTCATTCAAACTACTATTATTGGGAACATTAACAATAAGTTTCAGCCTTGTGCATTAAGTCCAGAATTTTGTATAAAATGTGTATTTTATTAAATAAGTGTACTGAAGAGCACCCATTGGTGAACGTAGTTCTGTAAGATGGTACATTCGTCAGAAGATGTAGTCGCTTCACATCTGGTTTAAAACCGATACCGTCAACTAAGTGTCCAAGAGATTCAAAATCAGATACACAAAATGGACACTTATTCGAACTCTCCGTAATATTCTTCTTTATTAAACAACTCAATAAAGCCATAAGTCTCAGAACAATGAGATCATCTTGATAAATTCAACACCTTCAAGATAACCTTATCACCTACTAATTTTGGGGATTTTTTTACCTATATGCACCGAAACTGGTACAAGTGAGGATTTCTTATACCCAAAACACGACAAATGTAATCGGAAATACAATCGATATATACAATGGTTTATCCATTTTGAATATTAAGTAGAATGAAATCACATATTTAAGAAAATCCCCAGAGCTATAATAAGTCACATACTGCATATCATGCTGAGCATAGTTCATAGTATATCGTGTCTTGAATTAATATCACACTCAATGTTATTCTAAATAAAATACCACACTGAAAAACAAACAAATACTCTCTGAATAAACATCATATGAAATTAAAATAAGGGAACAATGCTGAACGAAAATCACAATGAGTAAAAGTGATGCGAACATTATCATCCTGTACGTTGTGCTACGAAGTTCGTGTTATTTTCGATTTCTCATAATACAAACTCTTAATGTGAAGGTTATTTTTTGGATTTTGGGGAAATGTTAAATTATCGTCTTCAATATCGTTTTTGTTAGAGCTGATTCTGCACAAATTTATGCAATAAAGTAAGTTTACACTTACCGTTCAGTGTTTTTTGTATACATTAGACAAAAAATTGTCGAAATGTTTCAGATGAGATATTCTGAGTAAGTTATTAGTTAAACGCAGTAAACGTACCTCTTCCTCCCCCGGAGAAGATTACGTATTACATGTATTCTACATAATTCAGTTAATCTGTGATCTTGAGTGCTGTTAGAGATATGAGAACGGTTTTCACTTTCCAGTTGCCCATACTGTGGAGGGGTTCTTCTAGAGGTACCTGAAAAGTAAATAGGGTTAGAGTTTGTCTTAGTGACTTGAGAGCGAGACCACACTGCCCAAAGGACAACTGCTTAAGATCGGCCACACACGACCTTTTTGTGAGTAATTTTCGTGTTCTGTACTTGTTGGAACCTTACCGCCGGAGACCGAAATCCGTCAGAAACGCGTGGTGTGCGTTTTTGGGGTCGACCTTTCCTAACCCCACCCTTCCTTTGCTGACAGACGGCATCACTGTCATACTGGTTGTCTGAGAGATGCACCTTACTGCCGTCACATCTCTGTACAGTCAACAGTACAACTTCACCCTTGGATCTTAAATTTGCTGCTTTTAGTCTTACTGCTCTTCAACTGACCTGTTTGGCATGGTAGAACCTAAAGGAACGATTGTTGATAGATAGTGCATTGTTTATGGCGGAACTGTTGTCATTGATATAAAATCTCACAGGTATCCCTGACGAAACTGTCTTAAAAAAGACTAAGGACCTACTAGTCAGTTCGGAAGTTTCTCTATCCATACGCCTGAATGCTACTGGCATTGTCTTCATGAAGGCATCTATTGCCACTGTCTCGTATAGAGAGAGACATACCCTTCTTGCTGCAATTGTAGGTAACATCAATATCTATGACATCGGAAAATCGACGAGCTACATTGTTTTGATATATTTCTGGAAAAATATACTGTTCCAGAAAACTGTTCACTTCACGATGTGCCTCAAAATCACGTACGGAGTAGAGAGAATCAAGGTTACACTGACCTGGAATTTTCGATCGTTCAAATAAACTGTCGCATATCAAAGACATTTTCGGCAATTATTTTATTTCCGTGACTTTCACGTACGAAATCGATGACAACAGAAGCTGCATGTCCGGAGATCAATAAAGAATGAGTTATATTCCTTTGTTCGACTGTCAAGCGATAAAATTGATAGTCTTTCTCATAATTGATACGCAACAACTCGTGATAATGACTCATTGACCATCTGGATACTGCATAGAAGCCTTCTATCAGCCAAAAAATACCTAGGATTTACGAACACTACCAACAGGATCTCTAGATCGACGGATAGGACTTTGCTTTGAGCAAAATATTTATGTCGCTTGAGTCGTTGGTCGCAGAGGGTGAAAACTACGCTGAGTGAAACTGATATTCCTGATGAATCTTTTGACTGAGCGCTCTTCTAGTAACCCCTAAGCTAAATGTACACGACCACTTGAACACAAGAGAAAAAGCGCAAGCTATGGAAAGAATTTTTTTAAAAAGTTAGTTTATGTACATAAAATTGAAGGTATTTATAGCATTTCAGATGGCCCTGAACTTCTGGAGCTTCTCGAACCCTACCAAACATAGTAGCAGGATAGGTAATCATTCAATCAGAAATGTGACGCATGACTTCACTTTCTAGATGTTTCTGAAGTACTTCTATTCGATGCTGATTGAATAACGTGCTTGCTAGCGTTTCCAGGGCCCCTTTAGATATTTTTCGAGGAATATTCTGGGTCTTCCCAACACATTCCTCCTTTCAAAAATCAAATTTCTTCCGGTCTACTTGCAGCTTGATAGCTGGTTTTCTCCGGCGTTCCGATTTTCTTGGTGTTCTCCGACTATGAGTGTCCCTGGGCGTTCCTGCCATTGGGGTATCTGCAATTATCTCAATTGGATGACTCACTCGTCTGTCCACAGTGTTCGACGTCCTTTTTTCTCTGTGGATTTGGTTGATGTATCTAATCCACCTTTCAATTGTCTCACGCACTTTGTACAAAACATTTCCCATTCTTTTTTCAATGACTTCAGGTTCCCATCGATTTTTTCCAAGGTATGACTTGATGACCATTATATCACCCTCATTAAAACTTCGGATATTCTGATGCAATCTGCATTCGTTAACTGGTTTAAGTGGCAATATGGCGTCGAGTAAGATTCGAATACTTCTTCCGAACATAGCTTCATCTGGAGACTTCCCTTCCGGGACAATAGGGTTGGACCTAGTTCTGTAAGTAACTGGTAAATCATCGATTGCGTCTTACAATACTTCGTGTACTTCTGTTTCTATCTCAATCGCTGCCACCAATGTATTTTCTTCCTGTTTTACTTGTGAACCAATCAGCCTAGACAGCCTATCCAAAATCACTAGTGGGTTGTTACTTAAAGTAATAACTCAAGAGTTTGGTTTCTCATCGTTCCATTCTGTTTGCTTCATATACCGGAATCCCTTTCTTCGATCTTAATATGGCCAGCAATGGCTTATGATATGTTAAGAGAGTGAACTGACGTCCAAATGTCATCTTGTGAAACTTTACATCGAAGATAATTAACAATGCTTCCTTCTCTATCTGAATGCAGTTACGTCCTTCTGTAGTTAATGACATAGCTGCATGTGATATTGCTTTCTGAGATCCATCGGGCATGATGAGAAATAATTGCCCCAAAGTCGTAGTTCGAAGCATCTGATGCTACCACAATCGGTAAGGATGTATCGTATTGAGTGAGCAACAAATCAGAGACTAGTAGTTTCTTAATTTCCTCAAAAGCACCTTGACAACTTTTAGACCAATCCAATTTTATATTCTTCGACAGGACCTTATTTAACGAAGCACGTAAGCGATGAAGGTTAGGAATAAATGCAGCATAATAGGTCCCATAAAGGATCGTAGTTTGAGAACACCTGTCGGTCTAGGCATAGCTTCCACTGCCTGGGTATTCTCTGGGTCTAACCAGCAATTCTTCAACCAAATCCTCCACTTTTATGGGTACTATAATAAGCATTTCATTGACCGGATAAAACGACGCTTTTAATCGATGGGAGAAGGGTCTAGGTGAATTGTGGTCGGAGGTATGAAGTTTAATTAGCTAATATTGGGTTGTGGTGCGAATGGAATAACATTATTAAAACATTTTTTCACAATCTTTAAAGTCGTTGAAGTAATTAAATGAAATGTTACTAATATCTGCATGTAGGCAGTTTGAATTACATAAGAGATATGCAATTAATATTGTTTCTCTAGTAATAGAATCGACATGTAAATCGCTCTTCAGCCATCCCGTCTCGGTAATTGGTTAACACGTTTCTTATATGTATCAATTATTTTGTTGACAAATGAATCAGTAAAAAGGACAGTTAGAGAACTGTCGATACACACATACAAACATTTGTGTATTGATATTCATAAAATACTTAGTTTGCTGTACTGTGCATCACAGAACTATTCAACATTCTATGGATTCGTATACTTTCGTCTACGAAACTCTTTCACAACAATCTAGCTACAACACTTCATGTTGAAATTGGCTGTCAGTTGCGCAAGTTTCAAAATTGTAACTCATGCATCTTCCCACAGCTTCTATCGGAAGATATTTTTCAGGATATTTCCAAGCATAACGAAAAATAACAGTATGCCTCTTAAGTTTCCTTTGGTCATTATCTTATTTGTATGATTTGAGGAATTTTATTTATCAGTGATTTGCACTTGATTAATATTAAGTTTTTGTTGTGTTTATTACTTTAGGTGCTGATACACCTTTTTACTTGGCCACTTTACCTATTGAATCAAAGGAACCAATTAATCAATTCGTTTACGAAAGGAAGGTGGTCAAGTGGTCCAAGGGATCTTCAGGCTAGTTTTACGTCTCTCATGAATGTGAACAGAATGTTATTAACTAGTTTTGTTGTTTGGCAATCTGAATCACAATATTTTCCTGACGTGATTCCTCTACGAATAGGAATTTTTCATACATATTGCTGCGTTTTCTCTTGGTACCTCACGTGTTATCACCGAATTTATAATTTTATCAGTTTATCTAATTCGTTTCAGTAAGATTCATCCCCATATTAAGAATTCATTCCGGCCGATGCAAATGATTTCAGTGTTTTTACTTGGTGTATGTTATATCTTGACTGTATGTGATCGTTTGAACATCTGTATTGCCATTTGGACAGGATTTGTACTACTTAACGGTGTTAGTACACGGACGATGCAACCATACAAATCGGCTAATAACCTAATTTTTATGAAATAGATGTCCAACCGCGTTGTTCATCGATCACGTGATATTTTTAAGTTCTTGATTTAGTGACTCGCTTTTAAGGTATGTTATTTTTATTTATAGTGCATTTACTATTGTACAACGTGGACCAAATATGGTATTGTAGCTGCCACCAGAATGCTAATAAACGGAGTTTGCTAAGGGACGTTACTGACAAAGCCAGTTTCTTTTCACATTGTTGAGATCATTTGACCTGAAAAAAATAGACAACTGTTTTTGAGGATCCAGTTACTTAGTAGTGTCAATGCTACATAGAGTTTCGTGGGACTAGTTTTCCGAACTATCCGATGGATAACAAACTCATAGTGCTCCTCCAGAATTGGGAATTAAGGTTTCTGGTTTAACGAAAAACGATAGTGGAAATTTCTAATGACAGTGGGACCTATCTGTTTCCCGGTTGTGGTGTTTTTACTGACTGATGGTGATGTGTTATTTGTAGGATTCCTAGTTTGTACTATAACTGAGTGTTTTTAACCATCATATATTATGATAATCTGCAACTTCGAAGGGCGTTCCCCACATCCATAAGCGACCATATACCTCTCTTCGTTTGTTCCATGACTTTTGCTGACACAGGGAGCACAAAGTCTATTTATTCAAATAGTTAGTTATTGATTATAATTCCTCATACATGATTTGTAGGTTTCTATTTAATGAAACAGGATGTTAGTACTGAGATCAAATAATTTGAAAAGGCCTAACTTACATTGCCTTGATTAGCTGCTGCAGAAGATTCTGGTGCTTTACTTAAAGGTTTGATAGCTGTGTGCAATGAGGACTGGAGGGATTAGAATTTGGCCTATAAAACTTTAAGTACAGGGTGTTCAATCCTTTCTTAATGATATGACGCCATAAAAAAGCGAGGTCGCATCACTTTTACTCATTGTGATTTTCGTTCAGCATTGTTCCCTTATTTTAATTTCATATGATGTTTATTCAGAGAGTATTTGTTTGTTTTTCAGTGTGGTATTTTATTTAGAATAACATTGAGTGTGATATTAATTCAAGACACGATATACTATGAACTATGCTCAGCATGATATGCAGTATGTGACTTATTATAGCTCTGGGGATTTTCTTAAATATGTGATTTCATTCTACTTAATATTCAAAATGGATAAACCATTGTATATATCGATTGTATTTCCGATTACATTTGTCGTGTTTTGGGTATAAGAAATCCTCACTTGTACCAGTTTCGGTGCATATAGGTAAAAAAATCCCCAAAATTAGTAGGTGATAAGGTTATCTTGAAGGTGTTGAATTTATCAAGATGATCTCATTGTTCTGAGACTTATGGCTTTATTGAGTTGTTTAATAAAGAAGAATATTACGGAGAGTTCGAATAAGTGTCCATTTTGTGTATCTGATTTTGAATCTCTTGGACACTTAGTTGACGGTATCGGTTTTAAACCAGATGTGAAGCGACTACATCTTCTGACGAATGTACCATCTTACAGAACTACGTTCACCAATGGGTGCTCTTCAGTACACTTATTTAATAAAATACACATTTTATACAAAATTCTGGACTTAATGCACAAGGCTGAAACTTATTGTTAATGTTCCCAATAATAGTAGTTTGAATGAGCTTTCATTTTGGACTTTTGTTGCACTTCCATAGTTTGAAACATTATATATGATATGATGTACAAGAATGCGGGAAAACTTTTCAAATACAAAATCAATTAAATGAAAATATGATAATCATAACGTTGTGAAGGATACTACAAATATTTTATTTATGTTGTGAGACCACGTTAAAGATAAGGATAAGATAGCCTTCTTTGCACAAAACAATCAGTAATTAACCTTTTATTTCGTTGATTTTTTATTTGGAAAATTACCTTATTCAATATTATCTACTATATCTTCATCATTTTATACTTGAATGTTTCTGATATCGTTTCATTTGGTGATTCTAATTATTGTAACGAAATATTTAAATTATCATACTATATTAATACTATAATTTAGTGTGAACTTAATGATATTATGCCTGTTCTGTCATTTGCATAAAATCTGTAGAACTTTCGCTACCTTTTACTAATATTGTAATTGTCATATATGTATTCTTTTTTTCGTTTCTCTTCTGTATATTGTGTTATAATACTTACTAATTCTCAGTGATCAGTCTTATTTTTAATAACTTTTGAGGGCAGGAGATAAACCGCACGTCGTTATCTAAGTGTATAGTAGTCAGTAACTACAGTTATGTTTTAGTTTATTTGGTCACTCACTTGTAGATGTTTTGGAACAGCTTCCATTACAGAATTAGTTGGAGGTATGAATTTTGCTGTGTTGCAGTATTCTTGTATCATGAATGACTGCACTACACTTGACACCGTAGCATGGAGTGGCATTTTCGTCATAGAAAACTTTAGATTTTTCACGCAAGACAGCAAAAATGACAAAGAACAAAACATGCTCTACGACAGCATTAATGATGATCCCCGCTTCAATTTTGTTGTTTGTTAGGTGCAATGCTAAAATTGTGAACGAGATTAAAGTTTATCCTCAGTCCTTTTAAGCGCATTGAGTATTATGTCTACTAGTTATTGTATGTTTTATGTATTTACATAAAATGATGACATCCAATTTATTTATTGTTAAAATCGCATTTTATTAATACTTGAATAAGTTACTCAATTGTATTCACTAAACATTTGCTTTATTATAAAAACTAAGATTTCAGGGGTTTCTCGTTTTTCTTTTGATATTGTCTGCTACTGTAATTTCGACACAGCTAACAGCTATCGTTTGAAGGAAGGCTGAAGGTTATGATGAGGGAGATACATTGTATCATGAGCTTCCACTATCTAAATTTTTGGAGTCAAGTGATCCTCTGGAGGCTCTTGCGAAGGCCAACAAGGTATTCAGTTTGACTGTTAGTGACTCGTAGGTTATTTTTGATGTTCCGGAAATTGCATGCCACCCATTAACTACCGCTTTAATCAAGGAAGACTTTAATGATATTCAAGTCCTTGGAAAAAGCGATATTAAGTAAGTTGTACTTTTCGTACAGTTTCATTTCGTAAGGTATTTTGAGACTTGAATTGTTTTAAAAGATTCTGCATAGTATATTGTATGAATAATAAATTATAAAGCTGTGTGTTCTGTGAATTATTTAGTTCTCGCAAGTTTATTTTTCTCCGACGTAGTTCTGTTTAACAACATATACTTGATTTTCTTCCAATGGTAGCGATGATTGCTTACTTACTTACTTACTTACTTACGCCTGTTACTCCTCGTGAAGGAGCATAGGCCGCTCACCAGCATTCTCCATCCAACCCTGTCCTGGGCAATCCTTTCAAGCTCTTTCCAGTTCTTATTCATCTTTTTCATATCTGCTTCTATTTCTTGACGTGATGTGTTCTTTGGCCTTCCTCTTTTCCGCTTCCCTTCAGGATTCCAAGTTAGCGCTTGTCTCGTAATGCAGTTTGATGATTTCCTCAATGTATGTCCTATCCATTTCCATCGTCTTTTCCTAATTTCCTCTTCAGCTGGAAGCTGGTTGGTTCTCTCCCACAAAAGGCTGTTGCTGATGGTATCCGGCCAATGGATGTTGAGTATCATGCGTAGACAGCTATTAATAAATACCTGTACCTTCTTGATGGTGGTTGTTGTAGTTCTCCAAGTTTCAGCTCCGTACAGTAGAACTGCCTTGACGTTCGTATTGAAGATTCTGACTTTGATATTGGTTGAAAGTTGTTTTGAGTTCCATATGTTCTTCAGTTGAAGGAATGCCGCTCTAGCTTTGCCAATCCTCGCCTTGACGTCTGCATCTGAACCTCCTTGTTTATCGACGGTGCTTCCCAGGTATGTGAAGGATTCCACGTCTTCCAGAGTTTCGCCATCAAGAGTGATTGGATTGCTGTTCTCCGTGTTGTGTTTGAGGACCTTGGTTTTCCCTTTGTTTATGTTGAGGCCTACTGATGCAGAGACTGCTGCTATGCTGGCTGTCTTTATCTGCATTTGTTCGTGTGTATGTGATAGGAGGGCTAGGTCATCTGCGAAGTCCAAGTCGTCTAATTGGTTCTGAGCTGTCCATCGTATGCCGTAGTTTCTCTCAGATGTCGAGGTCTTCATAATCCAGTCGACCACCAGAAGAAACAGGAAGGGAGAGAGTAGACAGCCTTGTCTTACTCCGGTCCTTACTTGGAATGCGTCTGTCAGCTGTCCTCCATGCACTACTTTGCACTGTAGTCCGTCGTATGAGTTCCGGATAATGTTGACAATCTTCTCAGGAACTCCGTAGTGTCGAAGAAGTTTCCATAACGTCCTCCTATCTACACTGTCAAATGCCTTCTCATAATCAATGAAGTTGATGTAGAGTGACGAGTTCCACTCAATTGATTGTTCGACGATGATCCGTAGTGTCGCAATCTGGTCTGTGCACGACCGGTCCTCACGGAATCCAGCTTGTTGATCTCGAAGTTGAGCTTCAACTGCGTCTTTCATCCTGTTCAGTAACACTCTGTTGAAGACTTTACCCGGTATTGACAGTAGTGTAATGCCTCTGTAGCTTTCACACTTGCTCAGATCTCCTTTCTTTGGAATCTTGATGAGGTGTCC